AACAGTCCTTGGGCCGTTCGCCGTAAATATCGACCGGGCTCGAAGGCAACGGATGCACGACGGTACATAAACGGGATTTTGCTACGTCGCCAGTTAATTCGCGAGAATTTTACATCCCAGAGACCGCCGATCCGCCGCGCGTATCGTCTCGCGTACACACGCGTGAACGCAAGCGCGGCACGTCATGTCACGTTCTCGCATTCTTTTCCATCTCACGGACACGGTTTTTGCACGGAATTTCCCCGTCGACTTGCCACAACACGCTTTAATTCCTGATCTCGCAATTCCGAGAGCGTCACTCACTCAGCTCGGGTGATTTGCAACGACCTTCCTTCGCGTTACTTCCGCCGCCGTTGCTCGGTTGTCGTCGTACGCTTGCGTATTCGCGCGATTGATCATCGTTCGTTTCTACCGAGAGCGCGGACGCTCGAGAAGCGAATTTATGTGGAACTTTGCGCGACGTATTGCTCATTTATAAGCGCCGTCGAACACGCCGCGCCGTGATCGTAAATTGCCGGATAATACCCTTCGTACGGAGTACGAGTGCCGCCATAAAACACCCGTGTAAAACACGCGCGCGACCGTGCAAGCGCCTCATCGAGGCGCCTCGGACCGCTAAAGAATTAACGCGCTACTTCCGTCGCAGGTGTTGCTTCCGGTGGCGCTGCCCGAGAGACGTTCGTTCATGACTCATCGTGTCGCATCCGCATTCCCGTGTACGAATTTTCCCGAACTTCGCCCCACCGTAAATCCAAGTGTGTTCTTTTTGCACGCATAAACGTTGAAAACTTACACTGGTTTGACTGGAGATTTTTTACACACGTTTCTTGCCGATTTAGCTTACGTCGTTTGGAACATTTAATCGTGTTAAATTAACACGTCCAATCGTGTTAAACGACGTGGTTTGAAAGACGGCAAGACATTTGTAAGAAATGTATGAGGAGGCTGAAAGCAGTGGAGGGGCCTTTCCACTTTTCGAGCGAGATTTCCTCCGGGAAATTCAGAGAATACGGCCGACAGGTCTGATCCGTGAAAAAACTGCGCACCGACGAGTAATTAGTATATCACTCGGCGGATTAAGTCTCTGATAAATGCCGGGGAGATCTCTCTGTGATCGTTGGAGCGCGTTGATCACGGAGTTTATCGCCGAGCTTTCGTCCGAATCAGTTACATGTTTCAGGCCGGACCACGAACTAATTAATTCCAACGTAGCAGCGCGTAAACCCGAATTCATAGCCCGTGGAGAGGACGCATAAATTCGGCCAGAGCGGTGGTAAAGTCCCGTTCCGTTTCGAGGACTGTACGTACTTGGCCTTGATGGTTACGAGGCAGGCTTGCCGGAACCTCTCTCTCTCTCTCTCTCGAAGTGTAATTTTCAGACACTTTATTGCAGTACGTAAAAGTCCATGAAGCGCCGGGACTCACGGGCAAGATAACGAAGGCCATCGCGTTCGCAGAGAAACACGCCGAGAATTCACCCTCGGCGCAGCCACGAGCGACCGGAGAAAAGAGAAACGTCGCAGCGAGGTGTCGAATGTGAATTAAACTGGAATCGTACCGATGAAAGGGAGGGGAGAAATTAACTAACGAGAGTGCTGTGACAACAACAGCCTTGCCGAACGCGTCTCGCGTATCAATTCGCAATAGGTGCGTGTAACGTTTAGCTTAATGGCCAATTTCAATTTTGCGTGAGACGGGAGGGGTGTGCATGCGTGCGTGCGCGCGCGCGCGCGCGATATGTTTTTATATTCCACTCAATTTTATGCTCCAATTTATTGCGCATAGCGAAATTGCGTCCGGTATCGCGAGAAATCGATAGCGTTTATTTTCCCGCACGACAGGAGAAACTATCGCGCGCGCGACAGCGCTTTTTTTTTTTTTCAAAAATTCATTTCCGCCGCCCCGCCGTCCGGATTGGATTTCGACGGCTCGCGGGCGAAGGGTATTGAGTTCAAAAACACGAGCGAAAACGGATCATTATTATTCGCGACTACCGAATTTCGTGCATTATTCGCGGACGGTCGATCTCCTCTTTCCCTGTAACGATGCAACACAAATTAAGACTCTACGTTTCATGTTTCATTCCGTCCGATGACTTCGAACGTCGAACGGTTGTAAGCGACGACAAAAAGCACAGGGTGGAAACTACCACGCGAGAATGCATCCGCCGTTGGTGCTAAGGATCTTCATCCACGCGCTTATTTTATAAATACAAGCGATTAGTAACCATATTTGGCTTCTCGTGTATGATTTCCAAAATCCAAAGAGTCTTATTATCGAAGGAGGAAAGGCAACATTTTTCAGTGCTTACTTAAAATGATCATTCGCAGAAAATAATTGACAACTTAAAATAAAACTATCACATATATATTGATAGATAAGTCTCGCTAGCCTGCACCCATGCGCAGAAATCTGGATTCTGCACCCTCAACGGGGCTTTTCAAGCTTGAAACCAAAATGATACGTCGGTGCCTTCCCTCGAAATATATCTGAGGTCATCCCCATCCCATACCGATCTACTCCTCGGAGATGTTTAAATCCCGAGCTCCATTCGCCCCGGCAAGCGAGTGCGTTTCCAGACTTCTCTGTTTCCCACTCAACTTACGATCCGTTGCTCTAAATTGCGGCGGCCTAATGGCCGTGACGCTTTGCGAGCCGGAGCCGGGCGTCCCGTGGTGGCGTGAAGTGTTCTTCGCACGCTCCGAGCAGCCCGGTTCCGATCTTCCGTTCGGTCCATTCGAGCGGAACTGATGTCCACCCTTGAAATCAGCTTCGTAACGAAATACCAGCCGGCTGCGGGCGGGCGTGCACCCAGCGGATAGCCGGTTTTCATGGACGCCGTCGGGGGGAAGTCGACTCACCTTCGAGTGGAATACCCTTCACGGGAGGGTGAAGGCCGCCGTGAAGAGGTCCGCGATCGATGTATGCAGAGTTCTCCCCGACAAGACCGCCGAGGGAGCCGTTTTATTTCCGGTCGCTCGATCAGTACCGCTACGGTCCTTTCGCGAAACTATTACACGGCGGAGAGACGCGCGAGAGACGCCGAGAGGGTGCGAGGAAAGGAGGGTGCGAGAGCGTCGGTTGGATGGTCGGTCGGTCGGTTGCTTGCTTGCTTGCTTGCTTGGTCGGGGGACAGAAACAAAAAAGGCGCTCGTCTGTTTTTGTACCTGTGTGTCGTCGCAGCCGCGGGGGCGTTCCCGCATGCAAAAGATAGGACGTGCGCCGCAATCTGAACGAAATCTCCAAACCCAATTTCCTGGACAGACAGACGGACAGGCAGACAGACGAGCGGACCGGCGGCGCGCGGCGGAATCGTGGAACGTACTCGCAGTACCGACGACATCGATCTAAGGGGGGGGGGGGNGGGGGTGCATCGAGACCGGATGTGGTTTTAATAATGCATCGCGCTGTGACTTCGCGCGCGCCTCGTCTTATCGGCCGGTGCGTTCGCATCGCGCGATTGTATATAAATAATTCGCGAACACGGCGAGAAATATGAACCGTCGTCGCGATAATGCGCGAAATGCAGCGTTCGATAAAGTCGTGAAAGATTAATATATCGCTAACCGATCGGGTTAGATCTATCGTTTTCTCCATGATTGTTGATCGACCGATCAATCGAAACTTTTGATGATTCTGGAGAAGTTATTTTTCTTTTTTTTTACTTTTAGGCTTTTATTTGATTAAATCTGGAGGATGAGGGATCCACTTAAAGAATTAATTTACATTTATTCCTTGTTATCGCGTCATAATTTCCGTGTATAGAATCTCACCGACTATTCTCCTTTTTTTTTAAATAAAGCAAAGCGATTACTCGTTTGTCGGGACGCTCGAGACCGTTCGCGAGCGTTATTCGATTTCACGAGGTGGCCGAGAAACATCTTCCCGCGTATTTGAATGCACGCGTTTCTCTTTCCATCACGTTCCCCGACGTCCCGGTTACGGCGGAAATCTCGTAATTAAATGTCGTGCGCCCGGCATTTTTAAGTAGCGCGATAATTGTTTGCCGTGTGCTCATTTTCCGACAGCGATCTGCTTTCAGATCGGAATGAACGTCTCGCGTTGGAAATTTGTACGCATTAACAGTGATAATTGAAGGAGGGAAAAATCGCGATATGAAATTTGCTCGACGCTCCAATTAAATTAAATCGTGAGCATTATCACGCGACTTGCAGCACTAACATAATTTCGCGCGCGCTGGTAATATCTGAATAATATATCGCTGATATACATATTATTGTTGTTATTTCCCTGTTAATTATGTCAAACGATATTACGATTATATCATAATGTTTACAGAAAATGATTGGTAGACACTGCCGCTCGGGTTAATGTTACTATGATTGTTTTATCAAACTCAATTTTACCGTCTGATAATTTTGCGAAGTATGGATTCGCCGTGGTATCGCCGGCTCGCGCGTTCAACGACCCTTCGGTTAACGTGGGTCATGGTAATTTTAGACATGACGTTCATTTGCCGGCAGAAACTGTCTATTAGATAATTCTGATGAGCGCATTATTCGCTCCGCAAAAGCAGAGCTAATTCATCATATAGCATTAACTTATCGAAGCGGATCCCACGGAGTGCTTAAATGACGAGAAAGCTTTATCTTTAGTCACCAAATGTAATCCATTTTCTATCCAATTAACGAATTCGAAAACTGATTCAATTTCACATTAATTAATGCATTATCGTTGACTACGGTAATGTTCTCAGCCACGGTAGAGAAGTTATATTTATTCTACTGTCATTGGATAAGTAAACAACCATGAAACCGGCATCACTAACGTGCATTTTGAGTTACCGCTAAGGCAATAATTAGATGACGGAAGTAACATCACTTCTCTTGTGTATATCTAATCTTGCAAAAATGCCATTTGCATATTATGCATCTTCTGTATGATTTCGTCGATTTATCGTGTTCAATGTACCTCACCAGATCAACAATTTTGGAGGAAAAAGATATTTAATCGCCATCTGCATATCCTATGTTACCCAGGTGAAAGTTATGCTGAGAGTATCACCTGGAGACGGAGGCAGCTTCTTCAACGCGGATAAGCGGAAAAAGCAAGTTACCTTAGTGGACCCAGCTTCCGGGCAATCCTCATCGGCAGAGGATCGCAGACCCACAGTAGCGGCGCCGAAGATGTTCGCGTTCGATGCCATCTTCACCGAGGAGGACTCTCAAGTAAGGCGATATAAAATAAGGATAAAATCAGTCTAGCCATTTAGTGTCGATGTCTTTTCACTGACTATTACTTCGATACGCGATTTTCTAATACGTTATTGTAAATATACCAGTGACAGTGCGAAAACTAAAAATAGAGACAGGAAACAATGTACTCATCATGTTCAATCTTAAAAAGTGTTCAAGCAAGTATCACACGCCATGCGTTAGCCATTTCGTACGACTACATTGATGGGAAATTATTTTCGGTGCCAACCGTACCCATTTTTTATTAACAATAAAAATAATTAAAAGAACCATTTCTCTCGTAAATGTTACTATAATGTCAGTGATAATAACTTTACATACATGTCGCTACTATTATAAAATATAGTTGGCACCGAAAGTAACGATAATTTCCTATCGCCTAGACCAACGCGATACCAGTAATCTGCACTGTAGAGAAGAATATACTCCCGTATTTATTAAGTGAGATATAAGCTTCGTGATAATTAATCCGTGTGACTTCTAACTCCGGTCTCGCTTACGACTTTCACAAAATTTCGACTTCAACAGCGCGATTTTTCCCGAATACGAGCGCGGATTTCACGAGTTTTCCGCTCTGCGTGTGCAGTCGACGCACATGCTGACACTCATCTGTCACGAAAGTATCCGAAATACTTCTCCGGTGAGATTAAGTCGACAGCAAGCGGGACTTAATTTCTCCCATTCGGAACGCCCTGTTAACGTTTTAAATTTCAAATGGCACTCGAGCACGGCGCAGCGAACAAAGCGGCACTTATGACGAGCACGTTTAAGGTCGCTCGCTCGGTAGCCGAGGGAATTTGCACGGCGCGGGAGAGAAAGAGAGAGAAACGGGGATCTCGACGTCAATGACGTCTTCGTCGGCCAGCTGCTCCGGAGCAAGTAGCAACAGTCCTCAATGGAGGATAGTTGCTACTCCGTCCTTGAAGACGCTCGCCTCGGAAAATCCTCCCCTTCAGCTTGATTCTCCGAGGAGCCGCTAGCCGAGGCTCGATTCTTCGGAATTCACGGAGGAACGAGCGGGAGGAAACGGGCGCGAAGACAGGGAGGAAGTTCGCGAGGAATAAAAGAGGGAAAGAGAGAGAAAGAGAGAGGAGAGCTGGAGCGAAGAGAGCGAAGAGAGAGAGAGAGAGAGAGAGAGAGAGAGAAGAGTTGGAGAGAGGAGGAGAGTCCTGGAACATGTACGTGCTCCGCCGAGGACTTACGTCCGCAGTGGAAACGTAAGAGACGTCCCTGCCGGGCGCATAACTAAACTAATTTCCCGACCTCTAAACTCCACCTCCGACAGGAAAATCCATCCCTTCAGGCGAATGTTGCTCTTTGCCTGCGACTTCCCCGGTTGCTATATCAAGCGAACGGCGTCCCGGCAGCGTCCTCGGGACACTTTATCGCGTTATCATACGGGCGAAATATTTTTTCATATATGACACATATATATATATCAGATTGCAAAAGCTATGAAGGTGGAGGTTTGTAAAATAAAACAGCCAGTTTTTACGCCACACACACACACAAAGAATCTATAATTGTAACACAGAGTTATACGTAGTTTTTAATAATATGAAAAATGTCTCGAGCACAATTTGAATGGTTTCGAAGGAGGAGGGAAAATTTTATTTCGTTCGATCGCCCGATTTCTCATATCATTAAAAACAAAGGAGATATCTAGGTGTTCTCATTTTGCCGGGACACCCTGTACACCGCATTATTAATGTATAATTATAATTCTAAAATTTACAATCATAACTACAATATATATATTTCCGCAAATTGTAGCGGAAACGTCTTCTCTTGCGCTTGTAAAACCGACGCAAGTAGTACGTCGCGCGCGCACTTCTAGAACGCGAGCCATTCAGACGACGGGCGCAACACGGGTTTCATCAAAGCGATATTGAGCTAATCATCTTTTGGGAATTTGCCGGTCGTTATCGACAGCATCGAAAATTACTATCGCAGCGGCGGAGCAGCCCGCATCAACGATCCGTAGTACGAATTGTACTATGCGACCTTGATGGATGGCACCGTCGGAGCAAATATCGCCCGAGATCGTGAGCCGCGGCGTAGCACGACGATACATACGCACATTGAGATATTTCGGTGCTCCTGTGGGACATTATTGAGCGTCGAATTCAAATGAGCCCGGAGCTACTGGGTATGTACACCCGGATCTCCCTCGCTCTCTCTCTCTCTCTCTCTCTCTTTCTCTCTCTTCGCTCTAACAGCTCTTTCTCGTTCTCTATCTCTCCGTTCCCTCATCGGTACTCCAGAGACTCTCCTACCTCTTCTTCCTCTCCCACCCTCCGCTTCTTTCTCATTCCGTGCCTCTCTCGCTCTCTTTCCCATCTATATTTCTACCTCGCCGCAGCTATGTTTAGAAGAACCATAGAAACTAATCGATTGATTCGATCAAATATACGTCGACCGCGGCGATTGTCATTGAAGGACACAATAGGCCCCCTTCCTCCTCCTCCTCATCCTCTTCTATACCCCCCTCTGTCCTGTCCTAACTCTTTCCCCTTTTCTCCCTGCGGGGTCCATCGAACCGACTGCGAATCAGCTGGGCTTCTGGGAGGGGGTAGGGCAGGGAGGTGAGGCTCATGGGATGAAAGAGTCGAATTCGAAAGAGCGAGCGTCCCAGCGTCCATCGTGACTTTTCGTCCTTCCCGATTGGCCGTCAAACACACTCTCGCTTGAATATTTTAAAGACCGTCGCGTCGCCGGCCTGCCCGACGGGGCAGCCTACAATCGTTCATCATCGAACCGGCGATCTCTTTGACGTTTTTGTGGAATCCGAGGATCAATGGCACCGATCTCCGCCCTCGGAAAGTTCCGCTATCGGTGTCGAGACGCCGTTCAAGCTTGCCGATAGACGATCGCGTGACCGTAACGCGAAATTCCTCCTCTCTACGCCGATATTTTCGCGATTTCCAGAGATCCCAGAGAGAAGTCGAAGTGAATGATTTACCCTTTTAGTTCGCGAGATATCGCGCATAGTCAATTATTATCGTCTGATTATCTAAAGAACGTCTTTACGTTTTGGTACGTGTTAATATCATCCGGATGAAATCCTATGGCTCCATCAAGGACAACAATCTGATCTGATATTAAAGTCGCGACGTGACAGGTTTAAGTGATATCCTGCTTGACATCCGCTTGCAGAGACGAATATAGAACGCATGATTGAGATAGCCGACAGTTTTTACACGTGGTTCTATTGACAAGCAAAATGATCGCAGCGGCAGGTGGACATTTATCGACAATGTCCATCTGTCGACAACGGTAATTTTAGCGGCAACATAATCCGCTCGGTACGGTATATTTGCGTACGGCGCGTATCGGCCGGCATCTCCATAAATACACCCCGCGGGCGGTGACGTCTATATATTTGAACTGCAAGTTAGCAAGGATGTCCGCCGGCCAAAGAAAATACGATAATCGAAACGCGCGCGCGCGCGCGCAGTCGCGCTATTTGCGACGAGCCAAGCCACGGGCGCAGTTTCAATTATTAACACTTTGACCGGTTAAACATTAACAAAATCTGCAATTGTGGCGCCAATCCCGCGCGGCTTATTCGATAAAGCTCACGTTGAATATTGATGAGAGCCCGGATCGATGGAAAAGTCGTCGCGTTCTCTCGAGACGGGAAGCAAAATATGACGAAAATTACGCGAGAAGCTCGTATATACCGCGTATCGGCAAACGAATACCGGATAATCGAGTTTGTCTCTTCTCGAGCAACAAATAATGGCGGAAGGCGGAAGGAAGCGGCGACAAAATCCTCCCGAGGACCGTCCGAGAGCGCAATTTGTGCGAAACTTTCTTTTCGCGTGTTTGATCGCGCCGACACGCGCGTATCGAACGATTTATCGGGAACAATACATGGCGGATGTGGGGAAACTCGGAGGGGTCCGATATAATGACTCATCGGGTGTCTCATATCTTCGGGAAAGTGTTCTATTCAACTTCCACACGAAATTCCTCACGTATTTCATATATTTTCTAGCGTGAAACCTGAACGCGAAGTTACTCGGGAAGTCTTATTATCATGTCTTCCGCATCGATCAAGATTAATAAAATGAAAATATTCACTAACAAACTACACGTTAACCGGCATTAATAGAAATGAAATTCATACAATTAGATCCTTTTGTATTAATTCACTTTTACTCCGTAACATTTTTTCCTATTTGCGAAACGAAATCTCACGCGCAACCCTCCGCAGAAGTTAGCGATCCTTCGTCCCTCGCGCGGAACGGGGATCCGCAAAGAAAACTCGGCGGGATGTTTCGTCAATCGGATAAAGACCGATGAGAAATCTCCCTCGGCGATGGGAACGCACCGATCAGAATTTCCACGGGAGCGACGGCGCACGAATGCACGAAAATATCCGTAAGCCGAGCCTACCACTTGAGTGTTAACAATGAGCTGCCAATAGGCAGACCGCGCGCGAACGAAACCCGGCCGAATCAATCGACATCCATCTCAATTATGCGCGTCATACGCGCAAACAGCCAGCGTATTCGCACATATGCGCCGCGTATATCGCCGTGTGCGTGCTCCGCCGGCAATTCCAAGCCGGCCGGCGACCTGGCCAGGACAATGCATCCTGGTCAGAATAATTCACCGCGGCCATTATAGCCGCGGCAGGACAAGGGCTTTATTATTGACTTACGACTAATAGTCACGCTGTGGATTACGCGCGTGCGTGCACACACAAGCGCGCGTGTGCGCCCACCCACGTATGTGAGCTTCCGTGTTTGTGTGTGTTTTCGCTGTGTGTGTGTGTGTGTGTGTATGCGGCACACACGGCCGGTGTGTGTGCACGTCACCGATCTATTGCTCATTTGCCGGGATATGCTGATTGAACGAGCCGCCCGGTGAGACCTATAAGCCCGCGATACCTCGCTTCCTGACTCCCGTGGGAATTCGGCTACCTCGAGAAAATGGATTATCCCGTGGGCATCGCAGTGTCCCGA